TTTTTGCGCCGCAGAAGCCCCCCCCCCCGAGAGCACGACCGATCGCAACCACTTCGGACTGATCGTCGACCACTTCGGACCGATCGCAACCAGTTGCGATCGGTCAGATGTGGTTGCGATGTTTTTGGGTCGTTTCAATCAGGTTTCGATTAAGGAAGAGATCGTAAGAACGCCTCTGGGTGCAATGAGCTCCCTTAAGCCGCCCAATGGGAATCTGAAAAAGCGGTTGCGATCGGTCCGATCACCGACGGCCGATCATGATCTCAGCTAAACACATGTACTTGAGCTCGAACGTGGCTATGATCCGTATACGACTCCTATGTGATTCGTATACGAGTGAAACCGAAACTGAGCGAAAACGCCCGCTGTGAAACACATTGCATCTCAGGAGGGTGAGGAGGAGGAGGAGGAGGAAGAGGAGGAGGAGGAGGGAGGGAGGAGGGAGGGAGGAGGAGGGGAGGGAGGAAGGGCAGGAGCAGGAGGAGCAGGAGCAGGGGGAGGAGGAGGAGGAGGAGGAAAAGGAAGAGGACAGGATGGCAAGGCGGGTACACGCGGCGGCCCAGACCCCGAACGTCATGACTTTTCCGGAACGTCGACCCCAAGAGGCCTGGACGAATTCCCCTACGGTAGGTTCGTGCGGCGTCGGCACTCGCAAGGCTTTTGGCACCGCGTCGATCGTTCAACCTTGAATCGATCGCGGCCCCGATCGTTCAAGCTTGAATTTCGTCGGGTACAATGGCCCCACCGTGTTCCTCGGTGCTTCCGCGTCGCAGAAAGCAGCCTTGAACGCCTTCGCCAACGTCGCTGGCGTGCCAACGCCGCGTGAACTTACAGTAGACCAGCATTGTATACTGAGTCGCTTTTGGACGGCCCCTGGGCCCGGCGAGGGCGGCCCCCGGAGCCCGAGAAGCCTCAGAGAAGCCTCTGAAAGGCGAGAAGCCTCTGAAAGGCTTCAGAGAATCATCTGGAAAGGCTTCAGAGAAGCCTCTGAAAGGCCTCGCTGAGGCGTCTCAGAGGCCTCGCTGAGAGCTCTGCAGAAGCTCTGCAGAAGCTCTTGGATCGGTTGCAATCCGGTGTTCTTCAGAATTTCATATATAGGAATCCTTCAGGTTGCGATCAGTCCGAGTCCAGTGGTTGTAATCCGACCGAAGTAGTTCATAAACAGTCCGAAGTGGTTGTAATCGGTCTTATTCCCCCCCCCACTTTGAGGCGTCGCCACGCCATGCTATGTCAAATTACGCGTCCTCATTTCAGCACTTCCGCATTTGTTTGATTTCAAAATGCTGCTCTCGCTGAAGCGCTGGCCTCATTTTCGGGCTACCGCTCGTTCCGAATCGTGCTCCTGCTGCAGCGCTGGCCTCATTTCCGCGCTTCCTGTCGTTCCGAATCGTGCTCCCGCTGCAGCGCTGGCGTCATTCTTTCCAGCGCCATACCACGGCGTGGTTTTCGGTCCTTCCAAACAGCCCAAAATCTAAAATATGGCCTCCCGAAGAAACGATTCGGTGTCGATTCGTTGATTCGGTGTCGGGAAAATGATACATTCGGTGTCGATTCGTTGATTTTTTGCGCCGCAGAAGCCCCCCCCCCTCATTTTGGGGCGTCGCCACATGCTACGCGTTAATCTTCAACACCATGCTATTCCATGTAATGCTACGCCATGCTGCGACATCCGATTGTGTGAATAGGAACGAGATCTGCGCCATGGTAAGGGATGGGAGGGAGGGGCAGGACGTCAGAGATGACGCGAGCGCACCTAGCTTCGTAGAACCCCCTCGGGCGCTGCCGAGAAGGCCCCTGCCTTCGAAGACCACCCCCGCTCCCGCCTTCTGGGAAGGTCGCCCCCCCCGCGCCACTCCCCGGAGCGCGCCGCCAGAGCTCGGTCGGGCATGCCCCCCCTCCAGGCGGATGTTGGACGGCAAATTCAGAAGGCGCCCAAACACGCCCCCAGAGATAGTCGAGCAAACATCGACGCATCGTCCCCGGACTATTCTGTGGAATGGCCCGACTCCACGCAGGAAGCGGGGGATCCCGCCCTCGAGGGGCCCCTCTCTCGAGCTGTGCACCTGCGGCGCCGGAGGCCGGAGGAGGAGGCGGAGGAGGAGGAGGAGGAGGAGGAGGAGGAGGCGGAGGAGGAGGAGGAGGAGGAGGAGGAGGAGGAGGAGGAGGAGGAGGAGGAGGCGGAGGAGGAGGAGGCGGAGGAGGAGGAGGAGGCGGAGAAGGCGGAGGAGGCGGAGGAGGAGGAGGAGGCGGAGGAGGAGGAGGCGGAGGAGGAGGCGGAGGAGGAGGAGGAGGAGGAGGAGGAGGAGGAGCGGAGGAGGAGGAGGAGGAGGCGGAGGAGGCGGAGGAGGAGGAGGAGGCGGAGGAGGAGGAGGAGGAGGAGGAGGCGGAGTAGGCGGAGGAGGAGGAGGAGGAGGCGGAGGAGGCGGAGGAGGCGGAGGAGGAGGAGGAGGCGGAGGAGGAGGAGGAGGAGGCGGAGGAGGCGGACGAGGCGGAGGAGGCGGAGGAGGAGGAGGCGGAGGAGGAGGAGGAGGCTCTGGAGACTCTGGATGACGACGAGGTGTGCCGAGAACGATGCACCAGGCCAAAAAGCAATAGTCATAATCTGGTCGAACGCTCAACGGACGACTCAAGCGAAAATAGGAACAGACCTCTTGAAACCATTACCGACTTTCTCTCCAGAAGGGCCCCGCCCCTGGATGAGGTACCTTCTCTTGAAGTGCCTCGCAGACCCCAGGGGCGGTCTCCCCAAACACGATTTGGAAATCAAAAACGCCCTAGACACACATCTGGCGGCGCATTCAAAACACCAAACCATTGGACCAGTGCGCCATAGCTCATGGGACGGGTGCGCTTCTCGGACCCCTTTGGGATCCCCAAGACACGGAAGGCGCGCGAGGCCCCCACGACGAGCACGACTATCTCCGCACCTCCCGCACACCCATCGTCCCTCCAACCTGTGAATTACATGGCCTCCAGGTCGCCCCCCTCTCGCGCCACCGCTCCCCTGCGCGCGCCGCCGGAGGCGGGGGACCCCACCCTCGCTGGGCCCCACCCTCGCTGGGCCAGGCTCTCGAGCCGGGGGAGGGGGGGGGATGGGCGTGCCGCCCCCCCCCCCTCCCCCCGGCGCCCACGCCGCGGGGCCGCGCGAGGCAGCCCGACCCGGCGGCTCGCTCGAGCACGGCAGGCTCCCCGAGCGAGGTGCTCGGGCGTGCCTCCGGGCTGACGCCGCTCCCTGCCCCCCCCCCCGTGGACGGCCCCGGTGCACAGCCGCGGCCTTGCCCTGATCGGGGAGGACGTCAGACTCGGGTGCGGGGGGCTCGGGTTGGCCCGACCTGGGCCATTACGAAAATGGCCAGGCCCACTCTGAAATTTGACGCGAGCTCCCGCTGCAATCATCCCACGAAGACTGGACCGTCAAAATCCAAGACGCGCCCGTCGAAAAACGCCAGCAAACCCGAGATCCGCCCCCCCTGGACGGCCCCAACAGGGCTGGACCTGAGCGCTGTTTTTCGTTCTGCTTTCGTCTCCGCGTTCGTGTTGCTCGACCAGATTTTTCCTGCACCTTCCTCCCAAAATGAAAAACAAGGCACCGCCGAAGTCCAGCGAACCAGCGTTGAGGTCCAGCCCTGGGCTCCAAGGCACAGTCACGACCTTGCCCTGCCATCCTCGCGCGGCGAGCAACAAGAATCACGGCGTGCCGCTTTGAGGGATCTCGGGCCTCTGGAGGCCCTTCGGGGGCCCCTGGGGCGGTCAACGGAGCAGCCCGAACTTCCAAACCGCCCCCAGGGGAAGCAGTCCGGACCTCCCAGGGCCCATCCTGACATCAAATCACGACGCCGGGGGGGGTCTGGGACACACCGCACTCGTATCCTGGGAGCGCAGAGGGCACCAGAGAGGACGCAGGATCCTGCAGTGGGCAGCGTGCGTCGAGGCTGCCACTGTCTCCCCCTCGGTCGGGGCCAGGGGCTGCGGCCCGCAGGCCAGGAGGAGGCTTGAGGCACGAAGCGTTCTGAGGCCGTCTTGGGGTGAGATTGGCTGTCCTTCGAGCTGGGACCGACCGTCCTGGCAGTCCTATAGTCCTACCACGACAGGTTCTCAGAACCCCAAAGTGTTCGGATCAGAAGAACAATCTTCCCAGAACGCGAGCCCGATGCCTGAAAACGCGACAGTCCCAGCCAGAACTGTTTGAAACAGAAAAACATGTCGTGCAGACCACGAAGGGTTCTTGGGACGTTCTCTGGTGGGCCTCTAGGCGAGCCAGGGCGCTTCGCCACTGCTCGAGTCTTGGGGGGCGACGGCGCGGCACGCGCGAGCTCGCCGGCCAGCGAGCCGTCAGGCCCCTCACGGGGCGGCGCGGGCCGGCCCGGGCCTGGTCACGGGCGTGCGAAGTTCAGGGCGTCCCCCCTCGAGGTCTGCCCACCACTGGAAGGGGGGGATGGGGGCCTGCACTGGAGCCGCAAGGCTGGGGCTCAGGCAGGCTGAGCGTCGTTGCGCCGATCCCTGCCCCCACGGGCGTGGCCTGGGCCACACAACGGCCGACTTGTCCCGCCAGGTGGGGATGTAGGCTGTTCCCTTCGAGCTTCGAGGGGGCATTTCTCCATCGTCGGGTGGTGGGATGGTGGGGCTCTGGACGGGGATGGAGAAGGGGATGGGGATCGGTTGAACGATGCTGGCAGACGCTGCCGAGGGCGGGCGGCGCTGCGCCGCGCGCGAGGCCGAGCGACAGACAGCGGCGGCGGGCGCTCGCGGCGCGCGCGCGCCGGCCTCGGCCATGCCGGCCTCCGCCGTGGCCGCCGAGGCCTCCTCCGCGGCGGCAGCCGCCGCCTGCGCGCCCGCTCGCGCGCGCCCCCGCTCGCGCGCGCGCGCTGCGGTGGGGATGCCAGGCAGTGCCAAAGGGGGTCTCCGCGAGGGGCGTCACCACCTCCTGCTTGACACCGGTCTCCCGCCGGACCTCAGGACCTCTCATGGCTCCCAGAGGCGCCCGAAAGCCTCCCCCCAGCTTCCTCGGTCCTCGATCCTCCCTCGTCCTCGATCGTGGATTCCAGGGGCAGGTGGTGACGTGACTATGGCTGATGGGGTCAAGTCTGGCGGATGTCTGAGGGTGCGCAGACGCTTCCCCTGGAAGCACCGCTCGACGATCGTCAATTCTGGGGATGCGGCCCCCCCTCTCCTCCTCCTCATTTTCGTCCTCCTCCACCTCACCCTTCTCCTCCTCCTCCTCCTCCTCCTCCTCTTCTTCCTGCCCCTCCGTCCTTATGCTCGCCTTCATCGTCGGCCTCGTGCTCGTCAACGCTTCCTTGGGCTCCTGCACCCTGGACTTTGCCGCTGACGTTGACACCCTCCCGTCGGCGCTCCCCTTGGACCACCCTCCCAAACCCAGCAAGGAGAGGACCTCTGACCCTCCGCTCTGTCCTCCGGTGATGGGGCTGCCCGGCGGGGGCTCGCTGGGGTGCTGCGCAGCGCCTCTTCCCAGCGCCCGAAGACCCCCCCAGACTCTCCCGGACTCTCCCCGACGACCTCCCCGATCCTCGACTTCCTCCCCGACCCCCGATGTCCTCCTCGATCCCCGAGGTCCTCCTCGATCCTCGGCTTCTTCCCCGATCCTCGACTTCCAGAGCAAACAGATCAGGCGGTGACCCCCCCCCCCCCCGTGGGCGGAGGTGGGCCAGGCCCCGGGGCGGCGGCTCCGTGGATGCGGGGCTCCGACGTATCCAGACGTATGGCCTCGCATCCACGGGATCGCGCCGTGGACTCGTGACTGCGAGGGCGTGGATGCGGATAACTCTGAGAAGCGATTGTTGACCCTCCCCCCTCTCGGCGAAAACTTCTCACCCCCGCCCCTGGAAGTGATGTCCCCAGTCCCTGAGTTTCAAGTTGTGGCTCTCGCCACAGCGCCGCGCAGCTTCGTCTTGAACAGTTGCAACGGCTTCACGGATGGAGGGTGGGTCCTTTTGAGAATGTGGCTATCGTCTTAGCGTCTCGCACATTCTCTTTAAGCACCTGCAGCAATTTCGCGGATGAAGGGCGGGTCCTTTTCACAATGTGGCTCTCGGCATCGCGCACGGTCGTCTTAAAGGTTGGCAGCAGTTTCTCGGATGGAGAGCGGGTCCTTCTCACACAACGTGGCTCTCGCCACACCGCCGCGTACATTCGTCTTAACTGTTCGCAGCTATCTCACGGATGGAGGGCAGATCCTCCTCAAAATGTGGCTCTCGCCCCAGCGCCGCGCACGTTTTGCTTATATCTAAGTTTGCTAGAAACTCACAAACGGAAAGAGGGTCCTTTTCACGATTGGGCTCTCGCGATGGTGCCGCGCACATTCGTCTTCAAAAGCTTGCAGCAGTTTCACGGACGGAGGGCGCGTCCTTTTCACAATGTGGCTCTCGCCTTTGCGTCGCCAGTGACACATGCAATCTTAACTCCGAGAAACCGAGCCACGACAACCAATTGTTTCGCTCGTATGCTGGGGGGCCCAAGATGAAATCATCTATTGCGACGCCCTGCGCTCTCCCGAACTGCGCGCGCGTGCGCGCGCGCTCCCCGCGTGCGCAGCACAGGAACAACTAGGCACTGACCATCTCAACCTCGAAATCTGAGTGGCGAAACTCATGTGTGTGCCTGTAGTCTGAAAGCCTCAACATTGAGCACTATATTGTGGCACAATACATGTTCCTCATTGCCCGCGCGCGCGCGTACGCGCGCGTGCGGGTGCGCAATCTAAGCATTCTTGAGCAATGGCCATTTTAAGCTCGCAAACTGAATGGTGCAAGCCAATTGCTTCATATAGTACTCTGCGGGCCTAAACGTGGAATGTTGCATTGTGGCGCAATGCGATTCCTCTTTGCTCGCGCGCGCGTGAGTGCGATGAGGAAAATGCATTGCGTCGCGAATTCATTAGTCCACGTCGAGGCCATCGGAATACAAGTGAAACATATCGCGGGGCCCAAAGATGGCCCCAAGAGATCCCCGAGAGGGCTTCAAGAGGGTCCCGACACATCCCCAAGAGCGCCCACGAGACGCCCGCGACGGACCCACGACGGGCCCCACAGTCCTGAGCCTCCGACGACCCAGACATCCGGCTGCTCCACTTTTTTGGGGGGGGCGTGGACCCAGGAGGTCTGGATCTTCCCTGGGATCGGTTTTTCGTCCCGAGTCGTTCTTTGACGCTCCCGAGGCCCGGCGAGGGCCCCCGGAGGCCCAAGAAGGCAAACCACCGCCTGCTCCAAATTTTTTTGGGGCGTCGGATCTCAGGGGAGAGGGGGAGGAGGGGGGGGGGCTCAATTAATCCCCGCCCTTTTGAGCCATGGAGGCCAAGATGCCCCCGAGAGGCGCCCCAGATCTCAGCTTTGCGCAAGGGGCTCTGCAGGGTCTCTGCAGGCCCCGCCCCCTCCTCTCCTGCAGAGACCCTGCAGGGTCTCTGCAGGCCCTCTCCTGCTGGTTGCGGAGCCTTGGCCCCCCACTGTGCACAAAAGGGCGGGGGGTACGACATTCACGCCCCCTCCTGGAGAACGCAAAACTCGTGCCGCGCTCCTCCGGATCCTCCTCCTCATCCTTCTCCTCCTCCTCCTTGTCCTCCTTTTCCGCTTTTCCTCCTCCCCCTCCTCCTCCTCCTTCTCCTCCTCCTCCTCCTCCTCCTCCTCCTCCTCCTCCTCCCCCTCCTCCTCCTCCTCCTCCTCCTCCTCCTCCTCGTCCTCCTTCTCCGTTGTTCCTCCTCCCCCTCCTCCTCCGCCGTTCTTGCGCCCCCCCCATGCGCTCCCACGGCGGCCCGTGTCACGGCGGGCTTCCACACTGCCCTCCTTCCACCAACTCCCCTGGCAATCGCTTCTGGACGGGCTGGTGGGCATGCTTTTTTGTCGGCGGCCGCGGGCGAGCGCGCCGGCGGCGAGTCAGGTCAAAGCGGGCTACGCAGAGACCAATTAGGCAAAGGAAGCGCGGGAAAACAAATATAGAGCAATGTGCGAGGCGACGGCTAAGCGCGGTCGAGGCCTCAGGTGGGTGGGTGAGGGGACTGAGACTGAGGGGAACTGCCAGCGTGCAAAGCGCGAAGCGCCAAGAGCTTGTTTTCACAATCCATCTGGTCGAAATTCGGGCGTTCAGTTTTTCGTGTAACATGGTCTTTGTATTGCGCGTGCAAGCGCGAGGGCACGCGCGCGTGCGCGCGCGCAGGGGAAAGGAGGAACACCATTGCACCACAGTGCTTTCTTCCACGCCGAGGCCACCATCACTCGAGTGAAGCAGGTGGTTGTCACCATTCAATGTTCGAGGTTCGTGTGGTCAATATTTTGTATTTGCGCACGCGAGAGCGCGCGCACTCGCGCGGAAACGGGCAATGAGGGAAGTGCGTTATGTCGCAAAACGTTATTCCATGTTGGGGGGCCTCCGGTATACGTGAAACGCTTTGTTTTCACCGATATGCGTAATTTTCGAGATTAAGATAGCTATTCATTAATGAGTTTTTATTGCGCACGCGGGAACGCGCGCGCCGGCAATAAGGTGAGCGCGTGGTGACACAAATCATTAAAACCTTGGGACCCTCGGAATATGAGCAGGACATTTGGTCTTCATCCTTCAATTTTGGAATTACGATGGCCATTATTCATTGGTTCTTGTGTTGCGCGCGCAACTGCAATACGGAACGTGCATGGCGCCATAATGCATTATTTCACGCGCTCTCAGAATACGAGTGAAACACTCTGTTTTCACCATTCAGCTTTCGACGCTAAGTTTGCCATCCCCTATTGATTTTTGCATTGCGCGTGCGCGCGGCGCACGTCGCACGAATGTTAAGGAAAGAGCACGGTGTCACAATGCATTACGTCGCGTTGAAGCCCTCAGAACACGAGTGAAGCAAATGGTTGTCACCATGCAATTTTCGACATTAAGATGGCGATGCCCGTTTGACGTGTGCATTGCGCGCGCGTGCGATCAATAAGAAGAGCGTGCTGTGGCAGACTGTAGGATTTCATGTTGATCCCCTCAGCTTACGAATGCGTCCTTTGGTATTCATATGCCAGTTTTCGAGATTAAGATGAACATGGTCGATCGTTTTGTTTTGTTTTGCGCGTGCGGGCAACATAGACAGTGAATGGCGCCACAATTCATGATTCCATGTTGTGTTGCAAGATTACGGCTGGAACAGTGGATTTCCACCACTCAGTTTCAAGTTTAAGTTGGCCAATGTCTGAGTGTCTTTGTATTGTGCACGCGAGGACGCGCGCACTGATAATCGTGTTATGTCGCAAAAAATCACGTCATGATGGGACCCTCAGCGTTCAGCTTTGAAAGCTAACTTTGCCATTGACTATTGGTTTCTGTCCTTCGCACGCGCGCGCAATAAGGCAACACAATCACTGTACTACATTGTGCAATCTCATATGGTCTCACAATGCAAATTCTCATACCGCGCGTCCGAATGCTTGCCGCCATTGGGACCAGTATTCCCAGATTAGTTTCTCATTCGTGTTCGCGCAATTAGCTAACCCAGCGATCGCTTCAACATAATCTTGAGACTCCTCATTTTTTGAGAAATCACTCGCCCCCGCCGCCTCACACCCCCCCGCTCCCCCGATCCTTCAGCCCCGAGCAATTTCCGTAATGCGGGTGCTAAATGTCGCTGTCGGCGCGGGGGGGCTATATTTCTAGGACTGGGGGGTCCTTCGGGGCCACCGAGAAAACTCAATTAGATGAGTGTGATGGTTCGTCCAGGCGGTGAGACAAACTGCTTCCCAGGAAGGCTGGAAGAAACCAGCCTCATCAAGCTCTTTGTGGGAAGCCTCATGAATCCGCTAGAATCTTGAGGACGCCCCTGGGGTCCATGCGAAACC